ATTGTGGGGTGAAGGGAGGCCTCTGTGGTTGTCACAGAAGGTCTCGGGGGAGATTATCCTAGGCCGTGGGGACTGCGCATGCCACGGCCCTGGGGTGTGATGAAAGGAAGGAAGACCAGTGAGGTGGGGTGAGGCTGAAGAGGTCCTGGGGCCGGGTGGGGGTGGAGACAGGGTCTTTGTGAAGGGCAGAGGGAGCCTGGCGCGTTCTCGCAGCAGAGGGACGCCACCTCTGCAGCTACCAGCCCGCTGTCGAGTCCAGGTGAAAGGTGAACATGGCGGGAGATGGCTGGGTTTGGAACCCTGTTGAGGGCAGAGCGGACGGGAAGCACACACGTTGGGACGGGGTGGCATTGGGAGAGAAACGTCCCACCAAGCCCAGGTACGGGTGACCTAAAAGTCTCACGGCACCCCAGATGCGGAATGGTCAGGCTGCTCCCCACGCCATCAGCACTTAACCTATGCACGGGGAGACTGGTGAAAGAACCTCAGAGGTTTCCTCGTCTGGCGGAGAGGGGCTGTGAATTCTCCACATTTCCACTAAAATCCAAGGCCCAAGCTGGCACCCAAACCTGAGCTCCAGGCCCCGGGCCCAGGCCTCCTGCTCCCCGCCCTGCTGCCGCACGAAAGATGGAGGAGGAGGGCGGAACCCCACGAGGGAAAGGCCTGACTAGGCATGGCGATGTGGTGAGGTCACCCGGGAGAAGCGTCGAGAAGCAGGGGAGTCTGGAGAGGCGCTGACCAGACAGGGCACTGCCTGCAGCAGTCAGAGGAGGTGGATCACGGAGGAAGGGTCAGGGGGCGGGAGCCCAGGCCGTGGTGGGCGGTGAGAATGTCTCAGGGCAGCATCTTCAGGTCAGCAGGCCTGGGGGGCCTCTTGGAGTGGAGCCCATGTGGGGGTCACTGATCCTTGGGGTCTGGGGAGACATGAGCAGCAGCAGACCAGAGAGGACGTCAGCGAAACTCTCTGCGGGGGTCCTTCTGTTGTAGAGCAACCCCGATACAAAACGGGGTGCCTGACTGTGGGTCCTCAGCCGCGCGCTTAAAAGGACTTATCAATGCTCCACTGCAGGCACACGTGAAAGGTTCATAAAAGGTTTATTGACAAGGGAAGGGGAAATGAGGAAATGTACAGCTCAGGGAGAAAAGTGGGAGACAAAGTTTTAAATGCGTCCTACCCGATCCGCCGATCAGGAATCCCAAAAATGGCGCTCTCAGAGTTGGCCGCCAGCCAGGAGCGGTGAAGCCAGGAGGCGAGCGATCGCGAGCCAGAGAGAGAACAAGGCCCACGTGTTTGGTTTTTATATCCAACCTGGCTGCCCAACTCCACCCTCAGGTCCCAGCCACCCTCCCCTTGGTGGTGATGGGATTTGTCTTTCCCAATGTCCTAATGGCTTTAGTCTGGAGTGGGGGTGGAGTCCACAAAGCCTGTATGAAATTATCTTAGGACATCCTTTCCCCCTAACACTTCCAGAGAGGAGACGGGGGTGAGACGGGTGGGCAAGGCCAGGGTTCACCTGGGCCCCCTGAGCTTGCCTCCCTCCAGCCCTCCCCCACCTTAAAGGGGCTGCTGGTGGTCCCTCCAGGGACAGGTACAGAAGGAAAAGCGAGAGACAGCCTGGGGTGCTGGAAGGGGCGCTGGAAGGGGCCGAGGACTAAGACGGTCTCACCTGCCTCTCCCTGGGGGCTTCTTTGGGGCTAAGTCACTTTTGCATCTGCCTTGTCCTGTTTTACAAATGAATCTCTGAGAGTTTAAGGAACTTTTTGGATTCACACAGCTGGAAAGCAGTAGAGTCAGCATTTGAAGCCCCTTTGTGATGCGGAGCAGACTCCCTGAGGGCTCAGTCCCTCTGTAAAATGATGGGGTTTGAATAAAAGCACCCCACTGGGATCCTGACTCCCTCCCCCACCACGGGGTCAGCTGTGGCTAATGGAAGGCCCAGGACTTGTCTGGAAAGGTGGACAAAGGGGTTCAGAGCCTGGCCCTGCCAGGCCACTGCCTCCCTGAAGGGGTGTGAGGAGTGAGGCCCGTGTCTCCCGGGCCGGCGTAGAGTGAGCAGGTGCTGGTGAAGGACAGTTCTTAATGTTTGGTCAGAGGAGCTGTCCCTCCGCGCCCACCCACTCGTTCATTCGGCAAATATTTGCTGGCTACGCCTACGTGCCACACGGGGGTGCCCCAAATGGCATTAACTTCCTGGCGCCATGCCATTTATACTCTAGTGGGGGGACAGAGACCAAAAAAAAAAAAAAAAATCTAAAAGTAGCCTATAAAATGTGTTAGAAAAAGAAACAGAAAACAATAAGTTAAAGAAAGAAAAAGGATGTATTAGATGTGATATATGCCAGGAAGGAAATGAAGCAGAAAGGAGAGAGGCCGTGCCCTTCCAGGATGGGGATCTTAAATCAGGAGGATGGGAAGGCCTCTCCGTGCAGGTGGCTTGAGAGTCAAGGTCAAGGGAGGTGAAGGAATGAGCCATGTGATGGCTGAGGGAACAGCACACGGGTAGCAGGAACAGCCGGGGCTAAGGCCCTGAGGCTAGAGTCTGCCTGGTTCATCCTAGGGGCAGTGAACAGACCAGCAAGGAGGCCAGTGAGGCTGCAGGGTAGTGGCCGATAGGACAGGGGGGCAGGAGAGCTGGGGGAGGGGGTGAAGATTGTGTCAGGTTGGGTTGAGATGTCTCTGCCGTGTTGTTCAGTAAATCCACAGTGCTCAGTCAGCGCTCAGGTTGCAGATCCCTTTGGAAGGAACTGACATCTTTCTCCCCTCCACTGATTCCACCTGCGGTATCATCCTCACAAGTGGCCAGTTCCGGGGCTCCCCTTGAGGTTCCCAGCCCTGTGCCCTGGCACGCCAAGGCGCAGGTATAAAGTGCTAGTCTGGAAAGGGGCTGCTTTAAGCAGAGCAGCTAAAAGCCAGGGTAAGACTACCCGGGGTTCCAGACCAGATTGCAACTTCTGGGTAGGTGGGTTTGTAGGGAGGGTGGCTAGGGTGGCCACACCCATGGTCTTTGAAGTGGGGAAATTCCCTGGCGGGAACCCTTGAGAATCTCACCGGGGGAAGGTGAGCCCCACTACGTTTTCTTTCCCTTTTGAACCGACTCCATTCCTCTGTGGGTTTCGTGTCCTGTTTCAGTGGAGCTTTGGAGCTCTTTAGCAGGGCCCAGGCCTTCTAGGGGGTAGAAGGAGGAGAACATAGCTAATTAGGAACAGGCGTGGGGGGCAGTCTTCCAAGAGGGTGGGTGGGATCAGGGGGAGAGAGACCGGGAGGCCTGGGAGGCAGGAGTGGGCCTTAAGTGGTCAGCCTGGGGCTGGATCTTGAATGGGCTGGTGGTTGTGAGTTCTGGATGGGGAGCAGGTTCCAGTAGGAGCCTCAGATTCCCTTGCTAAACCAGGGAAAGACGAGAGTAGACTTTAATCTGTTGTTTGAGAGGAATAAATGCCATAGCTGTTTCTCCCAGCCCTTGGCGTTAGGTCTGGAGAAGTTCTAGTCCTTTCCTGGACAGGGAGGGCCCATAACTGGGACGCAGGGCCTAGGTTAGGAGGTTGGAGTGGGGAGGAGGGAGGATACATCCCATCCCTGCTCTGTAGGGCCAGGCTCCCTCTCTCCTGCAGGGGAAAGTGCTACGCTGGCTACAGGGAAGGCTGGCGCCTTGGCTCTGGAACCAGGGGTCGGGATTCAGGTTGGTGTGATTGGGGTGATAACCCAGGGGACGGAAGGGGCATTCATTGGTTGTGAAGGGAAGTGATTAGGCTCTAGGACTGAGTCTCACGGGGACAAGGCTTGTCCTTACTTGCCCGCTCTTGGACATGGGCTCATCATACCCTCAGCTGGGGGAGGACAGTGCCATCCTGCTGTGCTGTGTGGTCCTGGGCAAACCCCTTCCTCTGCTGTAAAAGAACCTGGTCTGAGGGGTTCCTACCAGTTTGGGCAGGTGTGACTCAGGGCTGAGGCTTGAGGGAAGATGCAGCGATTATGGCAGTGCCCGCTTCCGGGAGTGGCCTTGTGCGGAGTGGTGTGCCCACAGTGGCCACAGTGTGTGTGTGAAGGGGGGTGTGTCACATTGGGAGCTTTGCATGGCACAGTGTAAATAGGATACTTTTAATGAGTCTCCCCTGGACCCTTTCATCAGCGGTCTGGCAGCAGGTAGGAAGCCTTCCGGCTCCCTGACCGGGGCGGGAGGGCCTTCCCGATCTGCAGGTCTGGAAACCCAGTGCAGAGCCGGGAGCTGGCTGGTTAAATTCAGACTCGAGTGTTGGTTCCGTGGTGTGGGGCGCCCTTTGTCAAATGTGTGAGAACAAGGTCAGGGCCGGAGGGTCTGTTCTGTGCCCTCACAGCTCGAGCAGCTGGAAGAGGAGCGAGGGGGAAGCCCCCCGTGGGTCTCTGCCTTTGCTTTTCCCGCAGGAGAGGGTGGCTGGGCCCGGGCTGCCTCCCCGGGTCTTTGGTCAGCGTGTCCTGCTGTCCTGTGATGTTCACCCCGGAACTACCCGGGCCTGCTCCCGGCAGCATGCAGGGCCCGCGGAGGGCGCCCCAGTCCCTGAGCGCGCGGCCGAGCAGCCCCCGCAGGCCGCGGTCGTCGGCGGGGCCGGCCCGAGAGAGACCCCCCCCCCGCCCCGGGAAAGGACGCTGCGCCTAGAACCCCCAGTTTAGGGGGCGCCCTCCTCACACCCCCACCCGGCTGCTCCGCACCCGTGCCCCGGCCGGGTCGGGGCGCCGGTGTCTGCGTGTTCCGCGCCCCACGCGTGGCCCGCGCCCTGCGAGGCGCCCCCGCGACGCCGGGCGGGGGCGGGGGCCGGGGCCGGGCGCGGGGCGCGGGCCCTTTAAATGCTCCGGGGCGGCGGCGGCGGGCGGGGATGACATCAGCGGGCGGGCCCGGGGCTCAATGGGAGCCGGCGGGCGCGCGCCGGCGGGAGCGCGCGGCCGGCGGCGGGGGCGGGCGGCAGGAGGCCCGAGCAGGCGGCGCGGCGCGAGCGCCCAGAGCCAGACCCGGCCGGCCCGGCGCAGCGCGGCGGCGGGGCCGGGAGAGGCTGGCGCGCCGGGCGCCCCGAATCCTCCGGCATCCGCCCCGGCGGGCCGCCCCCGCCCGCGGCAGCCCCCGGCGCAGCGGCCCGGCAGCGGCGCCTTCCCGGCGGGGTGCGTATGGGGGGCCGCGGGCGCGCGGGGGGCGCAGGCCGGGGGCGCGCGGCTCCTCCGCCTCTTTGTTTTTGCCGGCGCGGGCGGGAGGCGGGTGCGGGGGGCCCGGGCGCCGCCCGCTCGGCCCGGCGAGGACAAAGGCGCGGCCGGGGCCGAGGCGGCGGGGGGCGGCTGTTATTCTGCGGGCGCGCCCGCGGGGGCCCCGCCGGCGGCCCCCGCCCCCGCCGGACCCCGGGCCCCGCGGGGCGGCCGCTCCGGGCTGGGGCCGGGCGCGGGGGGCGGGGGCCGGGAGCCGGGCCGGGGCGCGGGGGGCGCCGCCGCCGTGGCTCGGGCTTCTCGGCCGGACCCCGGGCTCGCGCGCCCCGCGGACAACCCGCCCCCCCGGGGGCCCGGGCCGGGGGCCGCGCGGCCGCTCCCCGTGGTGCCGGGGGCGCCGGGGCCCCGAGGTGCCGGCCGCGCGCCCGGCCGTGTTTTCCTTTGTGGCGAGAAAGGGGCGGGGGTGCTGGTGGCCGGGCCCCGCCGTCGTGCCCGGGCCCGCGCGGGTCTCGGGGGCCGGAACTCGAGCCGGGCCCTCTCGAGGGCCCCCGCTCCTCTCCGCGCCAGCCTCCCGGCGGGGGAGCCCCCTCCCCAACTTTCCCCTTAGTTTTCTTCTGCCACAGTCTCTATGGGGGGCTGCGGGGAGGGGGTCGAGTGGCTCCCCTTGCGGGGTGTCCTTTGCCCGGGGTCCAGGGTGCGCCCCCAGTTGCCCCGGGGCCGGGGCGCGGGCGGCGCGTGCCAGTTCGTCTCCTGGGCCGAAACTCGCCATCGCGGGCCTCCCCTTGAACAGAACAACAAAAACAACTCGGTTCCTCCCGGGGCGCGGGCGGAGACGCTCGGCCTCGGCGCGCTCGCCCCTTGCTCCGGGAGCCGGGCGGGGACTGTCCCTACGCTCGGGGCCGGCCCCCCGGGGTGCGAAAGGCGGGGTGCGGGCTCCCACAGGCCCCCCGCGCGCGGTGGGGAGGGGCGGGGGGTCAGGCGGGTGTATTTATGTAAGCCCAGACGGAGGGCCCGGTATTTACATAACCCGCGTGGGCATTTATGTAATGTAGGATGCGGGGTATTTATGTGCCTCTCCTGACCCGCGGCTTGCCCGCTGCCGTGTGTGGTCTCTGAATCGGCGTCGCTGGAAAACAGGCGGGTGGGGGTGTGTTTGTGTGTACACGCGCCCACCCCACCCCTGGGGCTCCGGGGTGTGCCTGCCTTTCTTCTTCCCGCGGGAGCGCACACGCTGGAGCGCGGCTCTGCCAGGTGTGCGGTCGCGGGTTTCCTGCAGATGTGGAGGGTGCCCTGCCGGCAGCTGGGCTCCGCGGGGCCTGTGGGCAGAGGCCCTTGGTTGAGAGCCGGAGTTCGGCTGGCATGGGTGGAGGCGACTCCTGGTGGCATCGGGCAGCAGCTCCCTGGGAGCGAGGTGCTGGGCCCATGTCTCCTCTGGGCAGACCTGTGGGCTCCTGGCCTCTGCCAGGGCAGAGAGACCCCCAGCCTGTGGAATGAATCTCCCCCGACCCTGCGCAGGTCTGGCTCTGGGGACTGGCACTTGGCAATGGGAAGGGGCAGACAGAGCCTCGTTGCCCGGCACAGCTGCGTGCCCATCTTCCTGTTTGTCTCCCAGCCCTGGCATGAAATCACCCTGCTTGGGAGGGAGGCTGCCAGGTGGGGCCTCGGGCACGCTGTTGGGCCCAGGTAAGACTGCTGGCGGGGCCCCGGGGCCAGGTGGCGTGAGTACGGGCCTGAGGTGCTGGTCTGCAAATGCAGGCAGGCGCCTCTTGTTAGTTTCCTACTCTGGCCCTCTTGTCCACACCTCCAGGATCTTAGGGGTCCCCCATCCCTCTCCGTGTTTCATAGTCTACTTTTCTCAATCCCTGAGCGGCAGAAACTGCCTCCTACCCTTTGACTTTCCTCCTCTGCTGGCCGGGACCTTTGTTCTAGGCCAGAGCAGAGGCGGCCCTTGATGGCCTGTGGACTTGTCATCCAGGAGGGTCACGGGAAGGAGGGAGCTGCTCAAGCCGGTACCTCTCCCCCAAATCTCCCCTCGCGCCCCCAGACTGGCAGCCACAGACCTGACGCTGGGCTCTGGTGCCCTGGGTTGCTCCTTGGGGCCCGGTAGGAGACCTTTGTTCTAGTCTTGAGGGAAGCCAACCCCAGCCAGTCCACGCAGAGGAATAGTGCAGAGGCCTGTGTGAGGGCCCGGTGTCGGGTGAGGTGGAGAGGGAGGCGCTGCAGGTGGATGGTGGAGGCAGCTCCCCCATCTCAGGAAGGAGCCCTCCTGCCAGGCAGACTGGGAGGTGCGGCCTCCAGTTCTTGGTGATAGAAGCCTGGGGCGGCAACCTGGGGCCAGGGGTCCCCGTGGTTTCTTAGACCTAAAGGGGCTGAGTTGCTCCTTGGGACTCTCCGTTCAACTTGTCACTTGTCATCCTGTCCCTGGAAATGGAACCGGCTAGTGGTTGCCATGGTAGCGCCCCCAGGACAGTCAGCTCCTGCACCGCCCTTCCCTTTACCCCCTTTGTCCTTGATTTTCCTTTTAGGGTCTGGGCCATTTGTGATTGACCTGCCCCTTGAGAGACTGCTATTGAGGGGTCCCCAAATGAGTGGCCCTCAAGGAGATGCTTGCTTGACTATTTCCTTCCAGACCCCTTCACCGGGTCCACCTGTTCCCTGGCGGTGTGGAAACCTGTTCTAAGCTGGCCTCAGTTACTCCCCAGGGGCGGAGGCTGTTGGCTACCTGCCCTGCTGCCTGGCATCTGCTTGCCCTCAGGCAAAAGGAGGCCACTCTCTCCCTGGACTGAGGGCGAATGTTGGTCTCCCGTGTACCTCATGGCCTGTCTGGCTTTTAGTGGGGGGGAGCCCCGCTTCCCAGCTCCTGCGTCTCTGACCGAGCGTTTCTCTTCTCTCTGCAGCAAACGTGAATCATGGAGCTGCGTGTGGGGAACAAGTACCGCCTGGGACGGAAGATCGGGAGTGGCTCCTTCGGAGATATCTACCTGGGTATGTCTTCCTGCTTGCCGCCCTGTGGTTCTGGGCTCCTGGGACAGCCTGGGGGACAAGGAGGAGAAAAGATAACAATATTTCAGGCTCAGAACTTGGCTCGGGGCGCAGGTGACACGTGTTGATCATTTGTCTCCAGGACATTTCCAGGTGAGGCAGGAAGCAGCAGGTTGGGGATGAGGGGGGGGGGCTCCTTAGTAGTCGGGGCAGCATGAGGTTCCCACCGACCCCGGGCTGGGCAGAGGAGGATATTTTTAGCTCTGATCTCCAGCTGCAGACGACCTGTCTCCAGCCGCACGTGGGAAAGCCCTAGCAGCCCTCTCTCGCGTGCCTCCTGGGAGAAGGATGCTGTGGACTGGCCCGGGCTGCTGCTTACTTCCAGCTAGCCCCCTCCCGGTGGCCCAGCCTTTTGGCACTCCGCCCAGGCCGGCTTCGGATGACGCAGGCTCCCCTAACCTCAGGGTGGAGGGACGGGGGCATCTGTGCCTAAAGGATCTCTCTCGCTCTCTGGATGTGCTTCCTGTTGAAAGTTGAGTTTGCTCTGATGTCGTTTTCAACAAATCGCTGACCGCTCAGCCCTGCCCTCGGTCCTGGAGAAGTGGGGCTCCTGCCTAAAAGGCATGGCCCTTCTTGGCACTTACGGGTAATAGTGAAGGGGTGTGGTGAGAGCAAATGGCCAGTCTGGGGTTCATCCTCACCCCCTCCCGGTGTCCTTAGAGGCAGCTGTGCCTCTGCTTTCCTCCTTGGGGACGGAGGATACATCACGCTGTCCTGGGCAGAGGAACCCAACAAGTCAGTGTGCTGCTTCAGAAATGGTCCCTGCCCTCTGGGGGTGAGTTCTTTTCACCCCCATCTGAGGGCACAGAGAGTAACACTGCATCTCTGAGCAGGACGGGGGCCAGGCAGGGCTGCTGGAATGTGCTCCCCGTCCTCACAACCTGTGGAGACCTTGCTTTACACATCAAGCAATTGAGGTGTGGCCGTCCAGGCTTTCTCTAGGAGACTAGAAAAGGGGACCTTTGTACCTTCTGCACGAGTGAGCACAGAAGGCAGCTTGGGAAGGAGACGGCAGACAGGCTGGATTCCAGACCTGACTGTCTGCTGGAGTGTCCGTGGTTGCTCTGTGCCTCAGTGTCCCCATCTGCCAGGATTGTGTGACGGTAACACCTGGCCAGGCAAGGCTTTCATGAGGCACAGATGCAATGGCACGCGGGAAAGCAGCATGGAAACTGTAAAGTGCCAGCTAGATGGGCAGTTCATTGGCAAGTGCTGGGGAGGCCTCCCACTGAAGGCACCCCCAGATCTCAGCACAGAGGGAAGAGGCAGTGTAGGTGTTGCCGTCTGAGAGCTTTCCTCTGTGACTTTGGGCCCCTTCAGTTTGGCCAGTGTTAAGTTGTGTCCACCTACCCTCCCCAGCACCCTGCATGGCTTGCCTGCAGTGGGTGTTTCGTGGAGGCCTCTCTGGTGAACAGAGCGGCCAGGCGTCTGTTCCATGCAAAGGCATGTGAAGTGGCCTCAGGTCAAAATAGGAGGTCAAAGGTCAGGCTTTGGGGCAGGTCCCCAATCTGCTTGGATCAGTCACTTTCTCTCTGAGCCTCAGCATGTTCATCTGTGAAATGGGGCACTGGTTCTGGGCCATCTTCTTTCTGTCTGTGGAGTTGGGGTGGGTCCAAAGGACACCTTGTATGGAGATTCTTGGGCTTAGGACTAAAGCCCGGAGCCACTGGTCAAGGGCACAGGCATGGACAAGCAGCTCTGGACACAGACACCTGCTCAAGGTAACCCCAGGTTCAGGGTCTTTTTGCAGAAGGGAAGCTGAGATCCAGGGAGGGGTAGGGCAGCCCAAGGTCACTCAGAAAGCCAGTGTCCCATTTGGTAGAACCTCCCTGGAGGCAAGACTTCCTGTTTATCCTATAGTCACCTTGTTGCTTTAGAAACCAGCGGTTGAGCGCTGGGTTGCGAAGCTGCCCGCAGCCTCTGCAGCGCCAGTTCGATCCCCGGTTGCTCCCCAGCCACCGGAGGAGGGTCCTGCATGGCGCCCAGACCTCTCCTGCCGCCCGCTGCTTCCCTCAACAGTGTACTTCGGTCCTTCTGCCTGCTCTGCTTCCTGCTCTGGCTCTGGTGAATTCTCTCACCCTCCCGTGCTTCTGGCTGTACCCAGTGCTTGTATAAATAAACAAACAAACAAATAAATAAATAAATAAAAATACACGCCTCTTTAAAATAAATAAATAAATAAGTCTCTAATAAATAAATAAATCTTTAAAAAAAGAGAGAAAGAAAGAAACTAGGTCCAGACTTACTCTTTGTGCCGACTCCAGAGTAAATTCTGGAAGGTTTGGGTGCTGGTGTTTCTTTTACCAGCCGTGTGACCTTGAGCAAGTGATGATGGTTCCTGACTTTCCTATTTGCAAAACAGGGTCACTTCCCACCCCAAGGTGGTGGGAAGTAAGATGGTGGCATATGCTGGACCTCAGCCCCCTGTCCTGCTTGGTATTTGCTCTTATCAAGGATCTGGTCCTCTTGGGCCTGAGTGTCCAGCTTCTTTGGGGCCCATGCCCTGACTGCTGTCCTGCCAACTCCCTCCCAACACTGTCTTGCTGGTACAGGGATGGTGCTGATTGTAGGGCCTCCCCAGCTGGCCTCATGGTTGCCTTTGTTCAAAGTTCTGGCCACATTCTTGTTGTATGTGCTGGTGCCAGGGCCTGACTCCAGATGGCCTCTGCAGGTGGGCTGGGCGCAGCCTCCAGGCCCCGCTTTCCAGGATCGCAGGAGCAGGCACATCCCGATGTGGCCGCAAGCCCGCAGGTCCTCTTTGACTCTCTTCTGCCCTCTTTGTCATGGGGAGTGGCCAGGAGAGCAGGGCAAGCTTTGTTAGGGCCTCAAAGTGGCTGCATAGTATCCAGGGGTGACTGAGTCATGTCCTCTCTGCTAACTGCTGGCTCTGGGAATCCCCTAGACCCTTCTGTCTCTGGTTCTCAGCTGTCAGTGAGAGGGAGCTCTGCTTCCCCCAACAGGTAGTTGTGGGGGACAGTCAGTTCCAGGCCTCTGGTCGGTGGGCCCCACCCTCCAGTCCAGCCAGGTGTGGTTATCCGGTGTCTGCAATGTGCCCCAGTGAGCCCCATGTGAGGGCCCCATCTTCTACACTAGGCTGTCCCTGCACCTCTCTGCTCTGCTCTGGCACTTTTCACTTGGGATACAGGGAAAAAGCAGTGGCTTTAGAGACTAAATTTCAAATCCTGGCTCTGCCCCAGCCAGTTCTCAGTGACTTGGGGCCAAGTACTTGATCTCTCTGAGTTGCAGCTCTGCAGTGTGAGAAGCAAGGGAGATCAGAGTCAAGGCTGGCAGCTTCCTGCCAGGATTCTGAGGCAGCACCAGGGTCCAGTGGGGGTGGTCGACTGCTGGAGTCAGGAGACTTTACATAACCGCTTAGGTCTCTAACCTGGGGAAGTTGCTTGTCCTTTAGTCATTGACCTTTGGTGTCTCAGTTTCCACGTCTAGGATGGAGATACAAAGTCAGGAATGCAGACTGGTGTAAAGTTCAAGGGTTAAAGGGCTCCTGAGGCCCTCCGCCCCAGGGAAGGGCTTTCTTCCCCGCCTCTCATCTCTGCGGACATCTGCCTGATCCTGAGTGCTGAAGGCCCTGCTGCTAGAGGGTCCATTCTCCAGCAGCTGCCAGCCACTTGTCTGCACTGTTGCCACAGCTGCCTCTGGCTTCCCACTCCGGGCCTTCCTGATACACCAGTGGCTCTTAGCAGGGAGGGGGGCATTGTCTTAAGGGGGCAGTTGGCAAAGTCTGGAGACATTTTTGGTTGTTTCAACTTGGGGGTGTGGTACTGGCAACTAATATATAAAGGTCAGGGATGCTGTTGAGCACCCTGAAATGTCAGAAGGGCCAAGGCTGAGAACCCCTGTAAGCCAGCTACCTAGGCCCTGAAGTCTAAAGGATTTTAACTCCGCATTGGAGACCCTCCAGCCTCTCCCCTGCTCACCTCTTCCATGGACCTTGTCAACTGCTTCAAACCACCCAGAGCTCACGGTACCCCAAAACACCGGCACTGGTTGTGGCCTTGGGCGTCTGGCAGTCCTGTTGCTGTGTCAGGAGTCCTCACAGCCCCCCTTTAGCGGGGGAGGGGGGCGTCTTGGCCACAGTGTGCCTGTTCCCTCCTCCTTGCCTGCCGCCAGCCTGCACTGGCGCCTGGGCAGCACTTGGCTGAGCACCTCCTGAGTGTGAGGCATGGGCCTAGACAGCTTCACACCTCAGAACAACCCCACAAGCAGGGTGCTGTTGTCCCATTTACCGATGGACCCCCTGGGTGCAGAAGGTAATGTCACTTGCCCAAGGTCCCCTGTCAGGAGGTGACAGAACAGGATTCTGGCCTGGAGCCCATATCCCTAAGGGTGCTGGTGAGCCCAACCCCTCTCTGTCCCCAGAAAACGGGCGCTGGGCACTGCTCTCCCCAGCGATGAGCGCTGTGTGGCAGAGCACTTTCCTCCCCATTTGGTCACTGGATGCACTACTTTGTTTTGTTTTGCAAATTTTAATTTTATTTTATGTGGTTCAAAAATGAAGAGACAAAACCAAAATGAAAACAGAAGCGTGCTGAGTGCAGGAAGCTCAGAGGACCAGGTAGTGTCAGTGTGGGGAATAGGCTGGCCTGGAGACAGGAAGCAGTGGTCATGGGGCCGGGCAGCTGGGGTCACATGGGGGCGATGCACCCGCTCTAAAATCAGTGGCGCTGGGCGCCTTGCAGATCCACAAACCACTGATGCTTGTGCTTGAAATGAGGGATTGCATAGGACGGAACTGCAGCTCGGCAACGGAGCTGAGGATAATCACAAGGTGTAACGTGGTACCCAGTGAAATAACTGCTGCGCCCCGCGGCCCGCCCCCCCCCCCCCCCCCCCCCCCGTCCCCGCCCCAGTCTTCATTTTGCCTCCTGTTGTGAAACGGCCACCAAACAGACTTTTTTTTCCGGGACTACAGAGAGCGCAGAATACATGATGTTCCGCACTTTGCTCTTTCACTTCCTGTGTCTTTGAGAACTTTCCACTTCTGCGCAGAGAGGCTTCCTCATTCTTTTTCCATTGTGCTCTGTTTTGTGGCTGGCCCGTTCTTCGTTTCACCACAGTCCCCGTGATGGGCCTTTGGCTCCTTTCCAAGCTTCTGCTCTTGCAGACAGCCCCCAGCAGAGAGCCTTGCATTTTGCCCTTTGCACGAAGCAAGGATGTTAAATCGACTCCCCAGAGTGGGAGGGTGTTTGGGGCCCAAGTGTCCTCCAGCGAAGAGGTGCCAGTCACACGGCGTCTGTTGCCCCACAGCCCTGCCCTCAGACAGGCAGGTACCTTCCCTTGGGGCTTCTGCGACTTAGAGGTCAAAGGTGGTCTCTCAGGGTCATTTTAACTTGGCTTCTCATTCACGGAGGTAGAACATCTTTTCCTTGAAGTAAACCGTTGTATTTTAATTTCTTTCACCTGAAGTATCTGTTGTGACCCTGGACCCTACCTCCTGTTGCATCTGTGGCCTCTTTCCTCCTGACGGGAGGAGTGCTCCGCGTAGGGCCATCTTGGCTCCTCGCTGGTGGTAGGAGTTACGAGCAGGTATTCTTAGAACTTTGCTTCCAGTGTGTTTGCCATGGAGAAGGAATTCCTTCTCTGGAGGGCAGGAAGGCTGTATTGTTGCATGCGTTCAGGATTGTTAGGGAGCTAGAGCTTTACCTATCCCAGTTAATAGACAGCTCTCCCTGCTACCATTCCATGGTTTTAAAGCTGGTCTTGCCTGCGGGGGTGGGGGGAGGGCATGGCCAGCTTTAGTTTTGCCTCTTAGTAAACGTTCAGCAGGTACAAAAGAGTACAGGTGAGGTTCGGGCTTGGCAGGCCCCCCCACCTCCCCGTTGAGGTCAGAGAGCATGCCTGTCACCTTCAGCCCCCGCCCCCTGCGTGCCTGTCTTCACTCTCCCCTTCGGAGACGAGACGCAGTGCTGGCATTTCCGGGTGCCCTTTTGTTGAAGACTCTTATCGCAGGTTTACATCCCCCAGCGATGTTCCGGTGTTGTGTTCTGAAAATTGAGAAGTAGAGACCCGTGCTCAGCAGCTAGCCCATAGGGAGAACCAAAGTTGAGGTATCTGAGGTTAAAAAGGAGGGAGTATGAGAGATGGGGTGGGGGTACAGAAGGGAAGAGGCAATGATAGATGGATAGAAAGCAGAAAAGCTCAATTACATACTGCAGGAAAGTGAATAAAACTACCAGAAAAAAACAGCGCTTGCATTCTTCTGTCTCTTGCTTCTGTTTTTTTTTAAAATTGAGGTGAGAGTTACATAACATAAAATTAACCACTTTAAAGTGTACAATTTAGTGGCATTTAGCGCATTCCCAGTGTTGTGCAGCCACCGACCCCAGCTTGCTCCTCATCACGAAGGAAACTTGTGCCCATTGAGCAGGCTCTCCCTGCTGCCCTCCCCGGCTCCTGGCAGCCACAGCCTGTCTCTGGGTTTGCCTGTCCTGAGCATTTCCTGCGGTGGAACCCTGTCTCCTGGGGTCTTCCGCGCCCGGCTTGCTCGCGCGGAGCAGTGGTCTAAGGCTTAGCCGTGCTGTGCGTCTCCATGACGGTGGGGGAGCAGGGGGTGGGCGCCCTTCTCTTCACCCTGACTCACCCACCCGCAGGCACCTTGGGCTCCAGTGCTGTGAGGCGTCAACTGGCCTCCCGGAGTGGGGGCGTTGGAAGGAGCACGGAGGGTCTGTGTGGGAGGTGGGTTGAAGAGGGACCTAGAGAGACTAGAGACATAGACATGTGGGGGAGAGGCTCCGGGCCTTGGCTAGGGCAAGGCATGTTTTAAGCTTTGAGTCTCCTTCAGCCTCAGCTCTCTGGGACCTGCCTAGCCCTGCTCTGTGGTTCCTTGCCAGAAGGTGCCTTAGACTTTGGGGTGTGTGAAGGTCCTGCCTGCGAGCCCCCAGGGCTGTCGGTGGGAACTGGTGCTGCAGGCAGGACCCTGCTGCGCAGACTCCGACCACCTGGACCTTGGGATGCCGGTCTCTGAAGCCGGGTTGAGGGTCCACAGGTGCCGAGTGGGCAAGTGCTGGGGGCAGTATGGGCTCCTTGGTGGTGTCCCTGCCGTGGCAGTGGTGGGACCCATCCTGATCCTCGACCTGCAGCTCAGTGTTGCCCCCGTGTGTCCACACTGACCGCACCCACACCCCCGCCCATTGGGCTCCCCTGGTCTGCCCTGCCCATTTCTCTCCTCAGTCTGATGCCCCGTGGATCTCACCTCTCCCCAGCCCACACATTCTCAGTGGCTCCCTTTTCCCAGGAGAAGGTGTCCTGACTGGTCTGTGCCTTCGTGGGCCTGGCCCGCATCCAGCCTTCTTGCTGCCCCAGCCTGTGGCCCCCTGAACTGTCTGTGGCTCCTCACCGCCTCCACCTGGCACCTCTTGCAGTTCTCTCTCCTCCTGCCCTCACTGGGAGGTGCTCTTGTGCCCTCATCGCCCCTCTGCTTCCATTTGTTATGGCCTTGGGCCCTCTTGTCATCATTCCAGTCTCCTCCAAGGGGCCCTGAGCGCCTCACAGGCAGACATCCAGTTGGTCGGGGGCTCTGGGCTGCCCACCTGGCAGAGGGTGACTCTGATCCCTGTGTCCTCCCCCCTCCTCAGGTGCCAACATCGCCTCTGGGGAAGAAGTTGCCATCAAACTTGAGTGTGTGAAAACGAAGCACCCCCAGCTTCACATCGAGAGCAAGTTCTACAAGATGATGCAAGGGGGAGGTGAGGGCCGGGAGGAAGCCTGGTGGGATGCTGGGGAGTCTGAGAACTGTGCACAACTGCATGCGTGTGCGTGTGTGCAAAGAGCCCTGGCTCTGGTCTTTGTCGGAGAGGGATATGCCCTGATTGCTCCTGCTTCCCCGGCCCACAGTGGGAATCCCGTCCATCAAGTGGTGTGGCGCCGAGGGCGACTATAATGTCATGGTCATGGAGCTGTTGGGGCCCAGCCTCGAGGACCTCTTCAACTTCTGCTCCCGCAAGTTCAGCCTCAAGACGGTGCTGCTCCTGGCCGACCAGATGGTGAGTCCCCCAGCTTCCTGTCCAGCCTCTGCTTGCCTGTTGTGCCAGGTTGCACAGGGTGCCAGCCCTGCCATGTGGGTTGCAGCAGGAGTGACAGGGCATAGGACTGGCCTGCTTCCTGGTTTAGGATCAGGGCACATTGACTCCTGCTGAACAATGGGTTTAAAATGCAGAGTCCAAAAAAATGCAGATTCCCAGATCCAACCCCAGACCTATTGAGTTGGGCTCCGGGGGTAGGGCTGGCTCCTGTCCTAGTGTGGTGCCCAAGGTGAGCTGCTAGGACTCATTGAGCCTTAGTCATTTTAGGGGAGAGTTTCCCCTTTGCTGGGGTGTCCTCGGGTCCAGTGGGACCTCACACAGAGCCACACCAGAGCAGGGGCCTGTCCTGGAGCCATTCCTAGGTCCTAGAGCCCTTTATAAACGCCAGGGAAGAAATTTACAAATTTGAAAGCATCAGATTTGGACCTGGCATGGTGTGTTGAGAACCTACATTGCAGGGTTCAGTCTCAGGCTGTGAAGATTTGATTTGATTTTTTTTTTTAAGGATTTACCTTTTTTTTTTTTTTTTTTTTTAAGTTTGATTTATTTATTTATACAAGCACTGGGTACAGTCAGAGTGCGAGAGGATGAGAGAATGAGAGAATTCACCAGAGCCAGAGCGGGGAACAGAACAGGCAGATTGATGAAATACACTGCTGAGGGGAGCAGCGGGCGTGGCAGGAGAGGTCTGTCGCACCATGCGGGACCCTCGCTGGCGGTGGGGGATCGAACCGGCGCTGCAGAGGCTGCGGGCAGCTTCGCAGCCCAGTGCTCAACCGCTGCGCCACCAGGGGAGACCCAGGCTGTGAAGATTTTAAAGGTCATTCAACAGAGGATGGTGTCACCTGACTTTGGTGTCCTGTGGAAGTGGGAACAAAGCCTGTCTTTTGGTCTCCATCTTATCATTCCTGCCAAGTTTAGGCTTCATTGGTATGCCCTCTCATCCCCTCCCTTCCCAATCTGGTTGCCTGAGCAACCTTTAAAAATGCCTCTCTGACACCTAGTCCAAGGGTACAGAGCCAGGCAGGCAAATCTTCGTAGGGCCAATGCCTTTCAGGCTTCGTTACTAGATCTTGCCATTAGCTCTCTTACCTTACTCTTTCCCTGTCTCACAACAACTTGGTTAACTCCCTCTTCAGAGCTCCTGTCTAGTGCTATTTCTCCAGGAAGCCTTCCCTGACCCACCCCTTGAAATCGTCTTACACTGTTGTAGACAGATCTTTGTCTCCCATCCAGGGCCGGGCTGTGTGCTTGTGTGTGTGCATGCTCACATGTGCCACCTCCATGGCCCCAGCCATCAGCCCTAGAACAGGGCCAGGCCCCGAGCACTTGGGTGCATGCCTGTCCCTGAAAGACTTGCTGAATGATTCGCTGTCCTCTGCCCTACTCCAGATCAGCCGCATTGAGTACATCCACTCGAAGAACTTCATCCACCGGGATGTCAAGCCCGACAACTTCCTCATGGGGCTGGGGAAGAAGGGCAACCTGGTCTACATCATCGACTTTGGCCTGGCCAAGAAGTACCGGGATGCCCGCACACACCAGCACATCCCCTACCGGGAAAACAAGAATTTGACTGGCACTGCCCGCTATGCCTCCATCAACACCCACCTGGGCATCGGTGAGTGAGGCCTAGGAGTAAAGCAGACCACCAGCTGCTGGACAGGGCCCTGACTTTCTGCAGCTGTATTTGTCCCCCTAACTTTCTACAAGTCACGTCTTCCGCTCTGTAAGAGAGAGCAGTGTGCCCAGCACCTTCAAAAGCCTAACACTCCCCCCTCCCCCCCCCACGGCAGCCAGTCGAGTGGGCGAGGGCGGGAGCTACAGGTGCCAGGGGGAACATAGGTGCTTTTTTTTTTTTTTTTTTTTAAGATTTATTTATTTATGCATACAAGAGCTGGGGTACAGAGCAGAGGTGCCGGGGAGGGGTGTGTGTGTGTGTGACAGAATTCACCAGAGACGGAGTGGGGAACAGAGCAGGCAGATTGACTGAAACACACTGCTGAGGGGAGCAGCGGGTGAGACAGGAGAGGTCTGCTGTGCCATGTGGGTTGCCCCGTGGCCAGCTGGGGATGGAACTCGTGCTACAGTGACTGGCGATAGCTTGATAGTGCTGTCTTTAACCCCTGCACCACCAGGGAGGCCCCGCAACATAGATTCTTAAGGTTTTGCTCCTTATCAAATGTTCTAGCTCGAGTTGACCCCAGCCTTGTCTGATGCTGCAGCTGGTGTATTGGCTGGCCAAGATGGCACTGGGATGCCGACTGCATCGCTGCTGAATGAGACTAAGTGCCTGAGCTAGGAAAACTAGGCCTAGATGGAATTGAGAAGCTCAGCCTCAGGCCCCTTGTCTGTAGGAGAGGGCCACAGTAAGGCCTGTTTGTAGCAGCTGCTGAAAGACAGCACACGAGGGGGTTCCCCAGCATTGGGTTAACGGGGTGGGTGGTTCCCCTCACTTGAAGAGGTGTCCTGAAGGAGGAGAGGAGGGGTCTTGCCCCCAGCAGCTGGGAACACCAGTTGACCTGGCCCCTTACCTTGTCCTTAATTGTGCAGAGCAAAGCCGACGAGATGACCTGGAGAGCCTGGGCTATGTGCTCATGTACTTCAACCTGGGCTCCCTGCCCTGGCAGGGCCTCAAGGCCGCCACCAAGCGCCAGAAGTACGAGCGAATCAGCGAGAAGAAGATGTCGACACCCATCGAGGTCCTCTGCAAAGGCTACCCCTGTGAGTAACCCGGTGGGGTTCAGGTTGCCGGGAGACCCCTGAGGCCCTTTCCAAGGGGAAGACACAGCCATGCATAGTACACTGGGCGCTTGCTGCCCTGGCACCAGGTGATTGATCACGGCATGGGCATTGCTCGGGCCCACCTGGGGGGTCTGGCTGTCCTGACTCACACTCCTGTCTGGCCTCTCAAGGCTCAGTATCAGCAGAAACACTCCTCTCCTTCTGCCACCTCCTCCACTCACACGGGACGTGTTGTCTGCGAGGCCTCCGTCACCCGTGTGTGGAGGTTTGTCCCCACGCTGTGTGGCTCCTGCTGCATCAGCTGGGTGTCCTGTGGCCTAGCCCCATTCTGATGCTGTCTCATGGGGATAGCGCTGTGTCCCTGGGTTAAGGGCTGTCCCCCAACACTGTGCTCACCCCCTTCAGATGCCAGGTGCAAATTCAGCTGCTGCCTGTGCTTCTTGACCATTGGCTCTAAAACACTGCCGCCACCCCCCCTTCCGTGGGCCCCAGTTACTCGCTAGGACGCCTCACACAGCAGGGACCCTCCCATCTCCCAGTTCATTGAAGGGTGTGGCTGTACAGTATGATGAGGGTCCAGAGGGTGAGATCTGGGAGGCGCAGGCACAGGGGCTCTGTCCTCATGAATCAGGGAGCTGGCATGAATGTGCTTCCTCACCTGGAACCTTTTGGAGCCCCTTACTGTTGGATTTTGCAGAGGCTTCATCACGCAGGCGTGCTTGATTGTTAACTCCATCCCTGCCCTCTCCAGAAGTTGCGGGATGGGGTGCTGAAAATTCCCAGCTTCTATTACGGCTTAGTCTTCTGAGGGCCGCCCTCCAGCTGTCTATGGAGAATGGCCTCGCTGTATTCTTGTCACTGAGGAAGTGACAGGGTTTAGGGAACCTTGTGTCGGGGCCTCAGCGAGAGACCAGCAGTTGGAACAAGAGATTCTCTTATTGCTTGGGAGGTGTCAGGAGCCTCAGGCGCTCTGTGCCAGGAACCCGGGTGGGCTGATATGCGTATCTTCTGTTCTCTCCCAAGGGCCCTCTCCCACCCCTTCTTTTTGAAGGAGGAATTGGCTCCTCCAACACATTATGTTAGGAGTTCCCGTGGGCTCTCAGCTGCCCTTGGGGTTGATGACAGCTGTTGCCCTGTCATCTCCATCACCCCCAGAATCCTTGGCAGAGCCAGTGAAGACTGTAAACCAGGGTCTTGAGGGAGCCGGGCCACTGGCCGGTTGTTCACAGTCTTCGTTTACTCTCGTGTCCGCAAAGGCTCTGCTTCCAGGCCGCTGGGTTTTGCACCACAGGGAGACCTGTGGTTCTGTTTGTTTCTGTCTGGCCTGCTCTCAGATTGAAAGTGTTTGCTGGCCCGATGGGTTGGTAGGACAACACAGGCTGCTGGGAGTTCTGGGAGCAGGGGTCTTACCGCGGCTCTTCTGTCCCGCCCCCCCGCCAGCTGAGTTCTCCACATACCTCAACTTCTGCCGCTCCCTGCGGTTTGACGACAAGCCTGACTACTCCTACCTGCGCCAGCTCTTCCGCAACCTCTTCCACCGGCAGGGCTTCTCCTATGACTACGTCTTCGACTGGAACATGCTCAAATTCGTGAGTCACCTGGAGACCAAGGCGGGCATGGGGGGCAGGATGGGGGAGGCCCTGACTCATCAAGCCAAGGTGGCTCTGTGGTGGGCGGGGCTCCCCAAAAATGGGCACTATGAGCTGGATAGCACAAGTGATCTCACTGGGGTCCCAGAGCCCCCATGGCCCCCCCACTCCATCCTCATCAGTGCTGATGGCCTGGGCCCAGGCGGGGTGCTGCCTCCCACCAGAACCAGGAGGACCTGGCTGGGCCTGCAGTCTCTCCTCAGTGCCCACGCCCGGGCGTGGCTGGCGCTGGTGGGCTCCCCGGCGGCCTTGATCGTGGCCTACACCATTCTGCTCTTGCTGTTCTGCACGTCCCAGGCTACTGCTCTCACAGTGGGCCCTCTGGGCAGCTTGGACCCATCCACTGTGGTTTCTTTCTTCCTGGTTGTGGGTCCCTGGGTCTTGCTGGGCAGCTGTTCTGCCTCTTTCTTTTAAGGGTCTTGGGGGTGGGGTGGGGAGAAGCAACCGTCGGCTGTGCTCGGAGCTCCGGAATCTGTGAAATCGTATGTCTTGTTTCACGTCTCTTCTGGAAAAGGGGGCTTCCTCGAGTCAGGCTCAGCCCCGTGACAACGAAGCTCTCGCACTGCCCTACCCCCGCCCCTGTCCCTGTGCCGGGACCACGTACCCATCCTCATACTGGTAAGGACCCTCCAAGGCCTGGCCTTTCCATGCCTCATTACATGGCCAGGTGAGCACAAGCGGCTGAGCCTCTGCTGTGCTCTTTCTGTCCCTTCCAGGTGCCCGTTGCCTGTGGGCACCCAGGGCCCTCCAGATAGGCCCATGGAAGAGGTGGAGGAGTTGCCCCCCCAAAACTACTGGCCTGTGGTCTGGACTCCGGGGCCCCAGTTCTGATGTCAGCAGGTGCACCTGAGCCCATCAGGGCCAGGCCGGAGGAGGCGTCCCTGGCGTGGTGTAGGGGTACAGTGGAGGGTATGGCGGAGAAGACCCTGCCACAAGATTCTCGATAAAGCAACTGCTGAGGAATAGCACCTGCAGGAGGGTGGATGTCGCTGCCCTGGAGGGGCCTAGTGGGAACGGCTGCAGGAGCAGCCTCAGCTGGGCCCAGGTGGCGGCCTCTTTGTTGAACCTGGACAAGTTAAACGCCCCCCGGAGTGTCATCCTGCTGAACATCTCCTTTCATGGCCCTGCCCTCTGCTCACTGCCACTCAGGCTGAAGGCCTGCTCTCCCGGACACTGGGGTCACATTGGTCACGTGCCCCACCCACCTCTCTGGGTCTCAGACAGCATCCTGGTCCTGTTCTGCAGGGAGAGAGACAGAAGTCAGGCAGAGAACAGGGTTCTGCAGACCAAGGGACACCAGGATGGGGGTGGGAGTTGGACAGTGGGGCACCTTTCACCGCAGACCTGGCTGGGATGGCTGCCAAGGGCCTAGGGCCTGTGGGGCCAAATCTTCTTGCCACAGGGTCATGACTTTGACACTGGCTCATCTGGTAGACGCTTGTCCCTGAGTCTGGTTCCGTGATGTGCTCAGCCTTCTCAGCACTGCTCCGAGGATGGTTTGCATTGTCTGGGCCTGTGCCATCCAGTGTGGCAGCCTCTGGCTACCTGTGACTGATTTTTAATAGAATAAAATTAATCAAAGCTGAATATGTATTTTTATGGCCACATTCGCCACTCTTCAAGTTCTTGGTGGCTGCTAGGAACTGACTAGTGCCCACCACACCTGGCAAGTCAGGAGCGAACATTTCCATCATCATGGAACATTCTGTAGGATAGTGCTGCTTGAGAAGGCACCCATGTGGCTGCTCGTGAAACTCTCTGCCAGCAAGATCTCATCTCCAGCCAGGTCAGCGCACCCTCCCCACTTTTTGCTGGCAGCGACCCCTTCCTGGGATCCTTTTGGGGCAGGCCCTGGAGTCAGAAGCTGAAGAGAGGTACCAGCGGCCTTATCCTGTACAAGTCTCTGACTTGAGGGCCATTGAACTGGATAAGCAGGCGCCTTGGGCCCTCTCAGGACCGTGGCCAGCTCACCCTCACATCTCCTGGTGGAAGCATTTGTGGGCACATTATGGGGGTTTTCCACACCTTCCTTCCCAAGGCCACGCCCCTCCCACGCCACCCACCCTGCAGAAGCCGTCACCAGCACCCATCTCCAGATTGGACACCATGCTGGGTGCCTCAACTGAAAACTTCCCTCCTCAGAGTGGCCACCCAGGTCGTTCAGCAGCCAGGCTCGGGAATCCTCAGATAGCTGGAGCCGGGGACACTGCTGTCTGCACACAGCCGCCATGTCCCTGGTCCAGCCAGCTGGCCAGGAGGAAACGACAGCCAAGGTCGGGCCCCTGCGACACAGGTGGATGCTTTGTGACTTTGACGTGGACTTTGTATGTTTTCTTGTGTGCAAATAAAGCCAAGAAACCTCCCTGGCGTGTGTCTCTCGAGGCGTCACTTGGGTTGGATGGAATGGGGACAGCGGCTCACCTCCCACCAAGGATGGGTTCTAGCCCCTTGTTTGGCACCAGCTCCAGGGCTGTGCTCCTCTGAGGGGACCACTGAATCCACCAAGCCTCCGTGTCCCCAGCCCAGATACGGCTTCTCACCTGCCTAGCAGGCTGGTGCCGCAGCTCTCCGTGCTCAGGATGTGCTCGAGTTCTGGCTGCTTGCTGTTGGCCAGGCTGGCGCTGCCAGCGGGCAAGCCCAGGGAGGTCGAGCCTGGTGCCTCCAGGCCTGCCTTGGGTGTGGGGACTTGGGGGTGTGCATCCTGAGTGTTCTGATAAGTTCTCTGGGGGAGCAGGGAGCAGGGCAGCAGAGCCTACATTCAAAGCATAGCCCTACTCTGAGCTGTGTGGCCCCAGACAGGCTCTGACACCTCCCTGGGCTTTGGCTCCTCACTAGAATTTGGGGATTATTCTGAGCTGCGGCCTCTGCCTCCTAGAGTTGCTTAAAGGCAGGGCTTTTTTGGCCAGTTCCTGGGAGAGACCCAGGGTCACAGGAACCTGCACCCTGTAGCCCATGAACAGACCCCCAACTCAGCCCGCAGCTCTCTCCTCCACAGATGCGGCCCCCCTCATGCCAGCCCCCTGCCCTTCCCTGTGGACGACCCCAGGACCAACTAGGTAACACGGCCCGGCACTGCTCCCATGTGCTCCTCTCTGGGTGCCTCTCCTTTCCTCCTGCACTGGGGGTGGTAGTGGCTGAGGGCAGGGCTCCCACACCCCTTCTGCACCCAGCCTGTTTGCTGGGCCTCTCTATCCTCCATGGGCATCTAGTGCTTGCCAGAAGCCATTGTCAGGGGCAGGGGGAGAATGACCCCTTGGAAAGAGGCCCTGACTGGAACCTGAGAGACCCATCAAGTCCCAGCCCACCTTCAGCTGGCCTTCTAACTCCCTCAGCTGGCCTCTGAATGCTGCCCTGCTCTGCTGGGGCACCGAGGGGAGCCAAGGGCTCTTTGAACATAGCGGTTGAGAGGGTCCAGAGGTACTCTTGGTCATCTGGGGCCCTTCCAGGCTCTGACTCTAGCCCCTGGTGACCAGAGCAGAGTGACCTTCCTCTGGGTGATTGTATGGCTGTTTCTCTGTGCTGTGTGATCATGGGTCATTTCCAGACCTTTGGGCTTCCGGCTTTGTGGGGAGGTTGGACCAGAGGGTTTCTGAGGTACCCCTTTCCCAAGATGCCCATCTGGCCTCCCTGGCCCTCTCAGTCCTGCAGGAGGGACAGATCCTGGAGTCCCCTGCCCTCTCAGCACTGACCAGCTCTCATCTCGTGTCTCCACAGGGTGCAGCCCGGAACCCCGAGGACGTGGACCGGGAGCGGCGAGAACACGAGCGCGAGGAGAGGATGGGGCAGCTCCGGGGGTCTGCCACCCGGGCCCTGCCCCCTGGCCCGCCCACAGGGGCCACTGCCAACCGGCTCCGCAGTGCCGCCGAGCCCGTGGCTTCCACTCCAGCCTCCCGCATCCAGCAAGCTGGTGAGCAGAGTGTGAGGGCCGGGTGCCAGGGGTCCAGTGCCACAGCCAGAGCTCCTAATGCTGAGGGTGGCTTCCCCCCGCCTCGCCCTCCAGGCAATACTTCTCCCAGAGCGATCTCACGGGTCGACAGAGAGAGGAAGGTGAGCATGAGGCTACACAGGGGCGCGCCCGCCAACGTCTCGTCCTCCGACCTCACTGGGCGGCAAGAGGTCTCCCGGATCTCAGCCTCACAGGTGAGCACGAGGCTCCCAGGCCGGAGTCGGGCCCAGGGTGCTGCGCCTCCCTCCCGGCTCTCCTTGAGAACCTGGGAGCAGGGTCGGGCCACCTTTCCCCTTTTGGTTTGATCGTTCCCACTGAGCAGAGCTGGGAGTTAGAGCTCAGGGCAGTCTGTGCCCCAGCAAGCAGCTCTGGCCTTCGTTAAACTGCTGTTTAATATCTGGCCTGATATTAAACTGGACCCCCAGGGGCTCATTTGGGTGGGCAGCAGGGAGCTCACCCAGGAGGGGCTCGCGGTCCCTGCTATGAGGGCGCCCCTCAGGGGTCCCTGTCAGCCCAGGATTGAGGGGTGGGTGGGTCCTGTCTGGCTGCCCTACTTAGGAGCCATGTCTGGTCTTGGAAGGGGGTGTCCGTGGCTGTCTAGGGAGGATAACCTGACAGCTGAGAGGCCTGCTCTCTCAGGATAGGCCGTGAGCTGGACTCATGTAGCCTGGGCAGCTGCTTTGCCTCTCGGGACTAGGGCTGCAGGGCCTTGGGGGGTGGACTGGGCTCCTCTGTTGGGGAGACTGACCAGATTGCCATTGCCACCAAGTCACACTCCCTCCCCTGCTTCCCAAAGACAAGCGTGCCATTTGACCATCTCGGGAAGTGAGGAGGACCTGCCGTCGAACCAGTATTTGCTTAGGTGAGTTGATGTCTGCTTTGGACACAGCCCAGCCAGGGCTGGGAACAACCAGGGCCCTAGGGGAGGAGCTGTGAGTTGCAGAGTGGGAGGACCTCAAGGGAGTTTAGATCTCAGTACCTGCTTGTCTCAGGCTTGGAGCTGGCCTGGCCCTTCATGTCTGAAGGAAACCTGTACTCTGCCCTGGGGCCTTCCACCCACTTTGCATTAATGTAGTCTAGAAAGTTGCACTCGCACCCTCACCTCCTGGAGCTTCAGCCCTGTCTCAGCCTTTAACTCATGCAGAACACTCAGAGCAGGGCCGTGGACGGGTGTTTCTCTGCCGTCGAGGCCCGCGGGAGTCCTCACAGCCAATTTGAGTCTTGAGGCCTCTTCTGGGACTGGGTGAGGCCCCGAGGTGGCACACAGCAGCTGTCTACTCCGGGGCCTGAAATGTGGAAGGGGAGTGCTTGTTGGGGGGAGGCCTGTACTCCATGGGGGATACATACAATGGCAGACAGCAGTTTAATATCAGAGGCAGCTGGGCCTCACTCCAGGACATCCTGAGTATGAATTGCTTTGCAGAAATTCATTCCCCACACACAGCGGACATAAAGTGGAGTCTTTGCTTCATCAGGCCTCAGACTCATGAACCCTCTGTGGAATGGCAGGGCAGGGCAGACGTGTGGCTGGGGGTGAGGAGGGAGAGGGACTGTTCTGGTGAAAGTGAGCACCTCCTGTAGGCCCCAGGGAGAGGGACGCAGGAGCTGCAGGGGTCTGGTGGATGGGTAACCAGAGGCAGATCCATTTTAATCTGTCTTCTGTCTTCTTTCTAGTGTCTTCACTGTATTTTCTTTAAAAAAAAAAAAAACCAACACAATGATGGGGGGAACCACTCAAGAAATCAAAAAGGAAAGAAAAACCCAGCACAAGACCCACAATGGATTTTGTTTCGTTGATGTTTTTTTGGCCAACGGCAAGATGATGGCGTGCCCAGAGCACGGAGGACTCTGGTCCCTTTGCTTCTCCCGCTGCCCGTGACCGTCAGGCTGCCAGACTCGGACAGGACACTGGGCCCTCCGCCCCACGCCGCCCGTCTCCGGCCTGGAGCTGAGATGCCGTCGGAGGCGGCCGGAGCCGGACACTGGACGTGTGGTGGGTCGGAGCCTCAGCCCCGCCCCGCCTGCCCCGGACGGCAGAGGCCAACTTTCTGTGTTGGGCTTTTTCCAGTGTCCCCTGAGTGTCTGGGTCCCTTTGCCTCTCAACAGAGACCTTGAGTGTTTGGTGAGGTGGCGGGGGCTGAGGTGCCTCGTGTGTGTGTGTGTGTGTCTGACCTGTATCTCCTGGGACAGCAGGTGCCCGCCCCGCCCGCCAGGCCCAGTTTCTGTTCTCATCCCCCTACCAAGGACACAGGCGGAAGTGACCTCCGTGTCCCTCCAGAAGGGCACCGCCAACCCCTGAGACTGTCACCCGCCTGTGGCAGCCCCACCCCCCTTTCCTGGTCTTAGGGCAGAATCCGCGGAGACTACTTCCAGCAACATCTGGCTCCTGGGTCATAAATTAACTCCTTGGTCCTGACAGTCACCTGGGGTTCCCTCACCGGGGCCAGGCCTCTCTGAGGAGGAGCCGGGGTTGGCTGGGCGCGGGATGTACCCATCCCTCCTAGTTAACACCTGCTTTTACTTTTGTTTGTTCCCTCCGTGTGTGTATTTCCTAATTTATTTACCCCTGTTTCCCTTTTTCCGTTTTCTTTTTTTTTTTAATTAAAGAGCAAAGCTTTTTATTACTTTGTAATTTAAAAAAACTGAAAAAAAAAATACTGAAGAACTTTGGGGGGAATTTTGTACTTTTTTCCTGTGTAAATATTGGACTTTTTTGAGCTTTATTGTGGTTGTTAATTTGAAGTAATAAAGTAGGAAAGGATAAAGTGACGTGGGCAGCTCTGGTACCTTTGTGCTCTAGGGGTTTTTCCCTAGCAGACCTGGCAAGGGGTAGGGCTGGGGAGACTTGGGGACTCTTTAAAAGCAGGACTTCACAGTCACGGCCATTGCACCCAGTTTAATTGCAGGTGCTGACTGGGGGTGCCTGAGCGTCTGTGCCCTGATAAGTGCCAGCTGATGCCCAAAGCCAGGACCACACTGAATACCAAGGTCCAAAATGCCTTACACTATACTGTTTCGTCCACTCAAGAATTCTGTTAGGTCCCATCAGATCATTGCTGTCACACGGGGACAGGGTCCAGAGGGCAAACAACGTGCCCAGTCACGGCAAACCAGGACCTGGACCAGGTCATGGTCATCCCCAGCATCAGTGCTGCTGGGCACCACCCCACCAAGGAGCCCTGCAGGTGAGGGCCCGCGTGGGCCTGAGAGGTCCCTTTAGTCAGCTGGGTAAAGGGGCAGCCTCGTCCTGCCGTCTCTGGCCTGGGGATGGTTTGTGGTCAGTCTGCCGTTACTTCCCTACTTCTCATCAACTCAAGACCCACCTTTGCCACAGTCTCAACCCCCAGAAAAGGGCAAAGCCACCTGACCCCGTGGGTCAGCCTAGGGGTGGTGGTGGAGGGCTTTGAGTTTCGGGGGGTATCTGGAAGTCTTGGACATGGCTCAAAACCCCATAAGGTCTCTTATGGTGCTGCCACTTGAAAGTCCAGTGACCCCCACAACTGGATTTAGGAAAGGTGGTTCTTCAAACCACCAGAGAAATGCCAGTGGCTGAGAGTAGAGGCATCCCTCAGTGCCATGTGACAGTGGAGTTGGTGCCCCGTGAACTGACCCAAGAAATTCCACTTCATTTGCCCATTCTCATCAGTACCCCTCGCTGCCCTCCCCTCAATACCGTCGGGCACCTCTGATGTCACACACTAGTCAAATTACCAACCTTGGGCCCTGGGGCAAAACAAAGGAGCTAATCTTTTAATTTCATATATTTTTAGTAAAAAATGCTTCTAATACTACTATGCTTATTTGTTGTATCCTGTAAGTTTCAAAGTGCCAATTTTATTATCACTACTAAACATCCTATGAAGTGAATCTTTTTACAGCTTTAAAATTTTGTCCTGGGCCTCCCTGCTGGTGCAAGAGGTTAAGTCTCAGCACTGTGAAGCTACTCACAGCCACTGCAGCACAAGAGTTCGATCCCCAACCAGGGAGTTACGCACATGGCGCAGCAGACCTCTCCTGACTCGCCCCCTGCTCCCCTCAGCCGTGTACTTCAGTCAATCTGCCTGTTCTGTTCCCCACTCTGTCTCTGGTGAATCCTTTGACCCCCTGCTCCTCTGGCCTGCTCCCCAGTTCTTCTATGCATAAATAAATAAAATAAATTTTAAAATAAAATTTGTCCTTAGAATATATCTCATTGACAGAGTGGTGCCCTCCAAAAAATAAGATTAAAACTTTGGTTTGGAGGTGTTTACATACACAAAAGTCAAGGCATTTAAAAAGCTGTCAGCAGACTCACTCCCTGCCCCTTCTACCCACCGCCTTCTTACCCAGTATCTTCACTGCTTTCTGGTTTCTTTTCCTGGATTTCTTATTTGGGGAGCTCGTGTATATGGGAGGGGGCAGCAGCTGACAGTTTGCAAGGAAGTGACATTTAAGCTGAGGCCAAAGGGGTAAACCAAGATGCGTCAACCATGCAGTTTATTTTTATGATTATACGCCAAACAATCACCAGGAAATTTTGCCCAGACTGGAGGGTGCAGGAATGCCACTTGGTGAATCATTTTCATTCATGCAACAAACAAACGTTGATTGGGCTTGTGCAGGTGCCAGGGTGCCAGGTGCTGGGCCGAGGTGCAGCGGGTAAGGGGTGGGGAGCGGGTGAGAGGTGTTGGGAGTCCAAGGGGTCCACTGGGCCTCACTGTGACCTTGGGCATTGTCTGGGCCTTGGTTTTGTTCTCTGTCAAGTGGAGGTGGTAATGCCTGCTTCAGAGGGCTGGAGGATTAAGACACAGATGGACAGAAGGGCTGAGTGAACTGAGGGCTCGTCACGCTGGCCCTGTTCCGGCCCTTTGCTCATAGCAATCCTATGAAGCTGGTGTATTATGCCGTCCCTTTGTCGATGAAGACACTCAGAAAAGACTGCTTGACCTCACAGTACATGCTCTTAACCTTCACCGCCACCACGCCTCTGTAAGCACTCCCAGGTATTTCAAACACAGAGGAAAGGGCCATTAGCAAACAGCCCTTCCAAACCAGAATCCAGGGTGGACTGGGAACAAAGGAAGGAGGGGATGTACCTGGTGTCACTCAAAGATGTTTTCAAAGATCTGAGCCTTGAAAGGTGACCAGGAGTTTACTGGGGATGAGGTGAGGAAATGCCTTCCCAGGAGAGAAAATGGCCTGAGCAAAGGCTCCGAGTATGAACTAGCTCAGTAAACTCCGAGTTCCAAGCTGGGTGGGGTTGGGCGTGGGGCCCCCACAGCAGCTGGGGCTGGGGAAAGCAGAGGCCATGTCCTGCAGAAAGAGAAGGCTCTGGGAGGCTCTTTCACCCCTGCTGCTGGCAGCTCACCCTTCTTGAGCCTGGGTGGCTCCCCTGTAAAGTGGGAAGAGCCAGGCTGTCCAGGAGCTGTCATGCCCCCTGGCTGACCACTCAGGGCCCAGTGGCTTGACTCCACCTGCCAGCACCTGCACGTTGAGAACCACGCGTGGGGAGCGGGCACAAGGCCGTGACCCTGGGGAATGAGGATCTGGCAACACAGGGGAGGGCTTAGGGAGACTAAGTCGCAAACCAGGCCTCCAGCGGCTGACCGGAACAGGGCCGCGTCTCAGCTGGCGGGGAGAAGCGGGGTGTCAGGAGCTCTGAGCGCCCAGCCTGGACGCCCAGAGCAAGCCCACCGGGGAGAAGGCTCGAGGAGCCGAGGCGGGCCCGGCGCCGGGCTGGGGGCGGGGCAGCGCGAGGGGCGGGGCCTCCTGCAGGGCCCACCTGGGGAAGGTGGGCCCTGCGGGAGTCCGGCTGCATCGGGAGCTGGCAAGGGAGCGCTGCTGACCATTCCCCCTATTTCCTTTTTATTTTTTTAAATAGCTGAGGCCTCATTTCTCTGCAGAAAACTGCAGCCTTCAGGGTTCAGCTTCATGGCTTTCATGTCTTTGTACACCTGCGTCACCACCACCGGATGACGACGTGGGCGCCTGTCGGTACTGGGCGGGGCGGTCCCTTCAGGTGCCTTCTCAATAGTCCCCTCCACGCACTCACGGGTGACACACCTCCAAATTCCACCCTCTGACGACCTTTGGCCTCGGGGGGAAAGCCTCCGCGTGGAAGGGAGGCAGTGGGCGTCTGAGAGTGACCGCAAGGCCGCGGCAGGACACTGCCCTGGGGCCTCTGGCGGGAAGAGATGGTGCTGCGGCTAGCAGAGCCCGGAGCCCGGGCCACTCCCAGGACTGGGCCGCAGTCTGGGTGGCAATGGGTTTGGAGGAGGCGGCAGGGGAGAGGCCTGGGACGGAATGGGGATCTAGACTCCTCGCAACTTGCTGGTCATTTCCCCGCTGAAATATGAGTCCATCGCGTGACTGGGCTGCTGCCTCCCAGGTGATGGCATTTCCTTTTCATTCCTGCCTTCCTTTTGACGCCCCCCCCTATAACCCAGGGTGTCCCCATGTCCCTGGGGGAGTGGATCGGACCCTGCAGCCAGCTCCAAGGGTGGTCTCTGCAGCTTAGTGCTGCAAAGGGGAAAGCTGTCCACTCTTATGCCCTCTCCCTCCTACCCAACCCCGTCCCGCCCTATTTCAGAAACAGATATGGGGGTAGTTACAGCTAAGAACACTGAGCCCCCACATTACATCTTCTCTCCCGAGCCTACAACAAGCGCCCACAGGAAATTGTCTAATCATTCAGAGGAGTAAACACATTCCAAGCTCCGGCCTGGAGCTGCCCCATCCCCAGGCAGCTACAGCTCTTGCTCAAGCCTCACTGCTCTGGGACCTGTTTTCCTGTCTACTTGTGGGTTGGTGAGGAAGAAGGTCTGGTGCCCAGGTTAAATGTTGCCATGGTAACACCCAGCCACCTTCCCCTCCTCCTCCTTCTCTGGCCAGGTCCCTGCCCCCTTTCACCCTTCGTGGTGTTTCCAGGCACCAAGAGTATCTCTGTCCTCCCAACTGTACCACGTGAGCCCAGGTCCCGTAGCCTGTTGAGGTTCTGGAAGTCGTGCATCCAGGACTGGGAAGTGCTGCCCACGTGGGAGAGGCTGACGGGATGTGGGAATGACAGATCTAGCCAGCCAGCTGCTGGGGAGGTGAGCAGAGGCCTCAGCCCTGGGGCACTGTTCCTTTGAGGAGGCCCCACTGCAGACCCCCACAATCAACCCCATCTGTCAGTAACCCGGGCTCCTGAGGCCCCTGGGAGAATGGCATCTCAGGTAATTACGCCTCCCAAAGCCTTTCATCCCAGCAGCTTCAAAGAACCTGTGATTAAGGTGCAGCCCCTTTGAAGTCACTCCACCAGGTTGTCCAGTCGCTGCAGTCTAAGACTGGGACACCAGGCCTCATCTAGCTCCTTTCCTCCTCTCTCCCTCTCATTAATGCTTCCCTGAGAAAACACAGGGCCCAGTTTCCCCAGCTCCCTGCACATCCCTGACCTGTGGGTGAACCTCCATTCCTGATGGCACCCCTCCAGGACTGTTGGCTGCAGCCTGGGATTTTTGTAGAGAATCTGAAACACATTCCCAGTGACTCCAAGGAAACTGGAGTTTATCCCCCTTTATCCTCTTTTCATTTGCTTGCTTGTTCAGGCTGGGTAATGTGAAGTGGGGCTCACCTATGTTCAGGTACAGGGGTGTGTGCACGTGTATGACTGGGAGAGATGGGAAAAGGAAGCTCCTTCTCTCGTGTGTCTCTAATTACTTCTCTTCACAGCAACCTGTACATCGTCACCAGCCTCAAACCTGATTCACACACAAACACTCCAGATGGCGTCCCCAGGAGCGGACTTGTTCTGCCTGCCGACCGCCACCAACGCCCTTCACGTCACCACCCCAGCTGGAAGGGGTGCATGAAGTCAGAAGCATTTTCTCTTGCTGGCTGATGTTCCTGGTTCCCTGTGGGGGCTGGTGTGGGCGAACAAACATCCATAAGGGCTTCCTGCATGCCAGGCCGAGGTACGTGTCCTTGACCAAGCCACAAAGCCTCCCGTGCCTCAGTTTTCTTCTAAGTAGCCATATGTCACTGATTCTTGCTGGGATAATAAAGTGCTTAGCACGGTGCCCGCAAAGTAAACCTTAGTAAGCAGCAGTTGTGATGAAGATGAGGGAGAAGGGGGTGCTCCCACCCGCTCCCCCCCCATATGTTAGGTTCAGAGGGTGCAAAGACAGTGAAGACAGTCCTTGTTTGCCCTCTGCGTGTCCGAACTTTCAGAAAATTTCTGTGTGTTTAAACTCTCACGTGTTTGGGCCTCCCCTGGTGGTGCAGCGGTTGAGCGCTGGGCTGCGAAGCTGTCGCAGCCTCTGCAGCACTGGTTCGATCCCCGGCCACCGGCGAGGGTCCCACATGGCGCGCAGACCCCTACTGCCACACCCGCTGCTCCCCTCAGCAGTGTGTTTCGTCACTCTGCCTGTTCGGTTCCCCGCTCTGGCTCTGGTGAATTCTCTCACCCTCCCGTGCTCCTGACTGTACCCAGTGCTTGTATAAATAAATAAATAAATCTTTAAAAAAAAAATAAAATAAAATCTCACGTGTTTGTTTGCATAAATGAGATATCCGGTACTGATTGTTTTATGTGGTATTTTCTTTTTTCCAGGGGTACTGATGTTTTATCAGGACCCCAAAGGGGGACTAGGAATTAACTAGGGAAAGAAAAGGGGGTGGAGGTGTCAGTGAGAAAGCGTCTACTTTGGGCGATGGGCAGGGCAAGGCTCGGCCCCAGATAGTAAGTGGCTGCTGGAAACAGAAGCGCTTTGTGATGTTTGAGGCAGGTTTGCTTAATCAAAATCATCCCAGGTGGGCCTGTTAATGTCTTCAATTTCAAACAGGAATTTCAGAAGGGACCTTCTTACTATTTATGTATATTAAAAATAGTATCTGTACTGGGCCTCCCCTGGTGGCGCAGCAGTTGAGCGCTGGGCTGCGAGGCTGCCCGCACCCTCCAGCCCCGGTTCCTTCCCTGGCTGCCAGCAAGGGTCCCACAAAAAAAAGTATCTTTACTGTATATTAAAAATAGTATCTTTAATATACATGTTTATGTATATTAAAAATAGTACCTTTATGTGTACTGAAAATAGTATCTTTTGCTATTAAAAATAGTTTTTGTAATGTGCCAGGTCTTATGCTAACAGTCTTGTGATGCCTCATTTAATTTGCACATCAGCCCTGAAATTGTAGTCCTATTATTATTATTATTATTATTATTCCCATTTTACAGATGAAGAAACGGAGGCTCCAAGAAGCTAAGTGAATTGGCCGATTCTCACAGTCCGTCAGTGGTGGAACTTGGATTTGAGCCAGGAGGTCTGGCCACTGCAAAGGCTACAGACATCCCAAGAGTCACCCCAACCTTATGGCTCTGTCCTAGTTTCCTCCATGCTGCTCCAGTTGAAGTCAACTTTCAGCCTGATCTTCCTTTCTGGGAGAACCACTTAAACTCCCTGATCTGCAGAATATTCGCGGTCTTTTTCTGGACACCACTCTTTCCGGGTTTTTCTGGTCATGACATCCCATTTCCTTAGGAATCTACCCCCCCCTCTAGAGAGTTGCTGACAGTAGCCACTGATTCCAGGGGCCTTGAGCTAAGGCTGGCCAATTGGAGTGCTGCATTTCCTGGCTCCAAGGATTGGCTCAGAGGTGGGAACAAGACTCAAGATGGACCAATCAGCAGTTAATTTTATGAAGTTAACTTTATGAATTCCCAGCAAACAGGTACCCTCTTAGACACTGGAGGGTCCCGTAACTTTGTGGGGGTGCCTCAAGTCCAACTCTGCCTTGGTACTTCTTAATTAGTGAGCCTATAAATTCTTCTCATTTGTTTAACTTGGTTTAGATGGTTTAACTTAGGACCATCCTGCACGATTGGTCATGCTTACACTTGGTTACTTATTTATGGAGAAACTGAGGCTCGAGAGGTGAGGTCACATGCCTGAGATCTTAAAGCTAGGAAGTAATGGAGCTCGGCCTGCGCTCTGCCCCACACCACGCTGCCTCTCCAGGCACCTCCATGGCCTCCCACAGCATCCTTGGGAAAGACACCGAGGCAGCTGTAAATGGGCCGGAGTCTCTGGACCACTCATAATTTTGGCCCATTCCTACCCTTGACAAGTCCTCAGTCTGGTGGGGGAGACAGAGGCATTCAGATGAATTATGATGCACAGTGAAAAGAAAACAGAAGGGAACAATAAATCATTTCTTTAAATAACTTGTTTTATTTATTTTGAAAACATTGCATGCTTCTTCTGAGTGCACATTTTGGAAAATACAGAGGAAAAAAAAGAAGAAAGAGAGTGAAATCAGCCATATTCATAATTCTGCCACTTAGTGGGACCCAACATTTTGTTACATTTCCTTCTAATTTTCTACATTTGATTTCCTTCAATTGATCAATCAATCATTTTTAAAATAGAATTCAGACCAGGCTGTCACGAAAACTTATTACTGCCTTTTCCACTCAATATTATTCCTAATCATTTCCCCCTGTTGTTAGACATGTGTAAAGAGACAATTTCAGTAGCTACACAGTATGCCATTGTAGAGTAGAACCATAATTTACTTAATGAATCTTTGATGACTTCCAGGGTATTTCCAATTTTTTGTTAGGGAGAAAATTAAAAGAGTGGGAAGGTAGGGGTTCAGGAGGAACCAAAAGATAATTAACACCAGGATTTGGTCTTTGAGGGAAGAGGAGCTACTTGCTGGGTAGAAAGGGTGAGGCTGGGGAGAGAAAGGCTTCTGGTGTGATCCAGTAGCCAAAGGGTGGCTGATAAGGTGACCGTAACCCTTATAAATGTCCAGTCTAAGGCGAACTGCATTAGGGGAGAGGCCCTGGGTCTGCAGGGCAGCGGGGAAGGAATCCATCTGTGAGCCAGGACAGATGAGTAGCTGCTTGGAGAGGGGCAGGAGCCAGGGGATAGATGTTTATCTCAGTTTGGAAAGTCTGGGGAAGAGGATGAGGAAAAGCCTGAGGGAGGCTTTCACTTGAGCAAGGAGCCACCTTTTAGGGCTACCCCTGCCACCTGCTGATGTGCTGGGTCACTCAGAAGGTGACTTTCTGTCTTGAAACCCCTTTCTGGCAACCCAAGCCTAAAAATACCCACCACCTGCTTCCGCCCCTTCTAGCCTGGGGCCTCTGAAAGCTGAGATCCAGGAGCCTGACTGTGGGTGCTGTTTGGCTCTGGAGGGACAGTGGCTATGGGATTGTGTCTGGCTTGTAAACTTTCTTTGTTATGATAAGATAAGGGGATGACTGGACAGAAGACTTTGCCCTGGAGGGGTTCATGTGGGGAAGGGGGAGGGACAGCTAGGAGTTAGAAACAAATGACTATGATGCAAAGATAGGGCCGCTTCAAGGAATTTCCTACCTGGGGCTTTTCTCTAGGAGTCTTATTAGTGGCTCTTCCCTCTAGCTCCTTTTGGAGCCAGCAGTTGTCCTATGCACTGGGGCTGGGTTAGGGAACAAAAAAGACAAAAAATTTCATCTTTATAGATTTTCTGTTTTACTGGCAGAAGACAAAGAGTAAAACAGAGAAGCTGTACTATGCTAGCAGTGGGGGAAATAGCCTGGCAAGGGCGCAATCAGGAGTGCATGGAGGGGCCTGGCATCTGTGCTAGGGGGTCAGGGTAGACCTCACTGACAGGAGAACCCTGAAGCAAGTGAAGGAGAGTCTGTCAGGGGGCAGAGAGCAGCCAGGCCAGCGGAGGGAATGGCCAGTGCAGAGCTGGAGTGAGTCTGAGAGTGCTCGGCTTCTTCTAGGAATAGCAAGGAAGAGAGGTGTGATCTGGAGGCAAAGAAGAGGGAGGGATGGGCTCAGACCTGTCTGGGTGGGTACTGGGTGGGTAGAACATACTCTCAAGGCTTGTCAGGGCCTTGTAAGGATTTTTTATTTTACTCAGAATGAAACGGGGAGCCCATGGAGTGTTTTAAGTCCAGAAACGCCATGTCTTGACTTCGGTACTAGAAGAATCCCTCTGGTTCCTGTATTGACAGCCTGAGGCAGCTTGGAGAACAGAAATGGGTTAGGAGCGGGCAGTCTGGGCTGCTCTGACAAGTTACTTGGAGCGGCTCCTAAACAACAGAAACTTCTTTCTCATGGTACCGAAGGCTGTAACTGAGATCAGGCAGCCAGCACGATCAGGTTCTGGTGAGATCACTTGTCTGGGTCACAGACTTTGGACTTCTGTGGCCTCACAAGGCAGGAGGAAGGCCAGAGGGGTCTCGGTGGGGGGGGGGGTCGCGTTTAGAAAGACACCCACAGACCCCACTTGCTAATACCATCCCTCTGGGGATTAGGATTTTCCATGTGGGTTTGGGGGCACGTTCAGTCCACAGGCGAGCCCTGCAGTCGCTTGTCCCGGGCAGACGCGGCCAGCGGTGAGGTGGGTGGCGGAGGCCAGAGTGTGGGGGGAGGACGCGGGAGGACTCGAGGAGGACCCCAGGAGTCGGGGTCTGGGCCCGAGGGGTGGCGAGGGTGTGGGCGCAGGTGCTGCCTGTGTCTGGGGGAGAAGAGGGGCTCCGACGCCGCGTTACCCTCGGGCCTGCAGCGAGAGGGGTGCAGCGGACACCTCGGGGAGGAGTCCGGGCCGGGCCCCTGAACACGTCTGAGGATCTCCCGCCCATCCCGCCAGCGCCTGACTGGATTTGGCTTCCCGGTGACCCCGGGCGCCGCGGCCCCGGCGGGCGGGCCGGGCGCGGGCACGGCGAGGACCGCAGCTGCGGGCGGCTGAGGCGAGGTGGGGCCCGAGGAGGCGCCGCCCGCGCAGTGGGGAGAGAACGCCTCTCTCTCCGCTTTGCACGTTCCTCTGGCCCGCAGCCGCGGGGCACGCTGTGCTTTCATGCCACAGCTCCGCACGCGGCCCCCTCACAAGCAGCCATTCTGCATTGTCCGCGGCGCCGCGACGTCCCCGCCGCCCCGCGGCGCGCGGGCTCGGGGCGCGGCCCCTTTAAGGCCGAGCGAGTGATCTCAGCCGCGCGCCCGCCCCGCCCTCCCCGGCGGCGCGAGCCGGGCGCATGCGCGGCGCGGCGGCATTCCGCTGGGCCCGGGACGCGCCGGCGGCGGCGAGACCCCGGGGCTGCGGCGCCGCCCGCCCCGCCCGCGCGCAGAGTCCCGCCGCCGCGCGTCGCCGCACACGCCGCGGCCATGGGCTCCTGAGGTACCCGCCCGGCCGGCCTCGCGCCGGGGCCCTGAGGGGGCGGCTGCGGGGGCTCCCGGGGGCGGGGGGCGCCGGGGTGGAGCGAGGCCCGCGCGGGGGGCGCCCCGCCGGGAGCAGCGGCGTCGCCGGGAGGAGACGCGGGAGGCCGGTCTGGCCGGGCGGGAGGGCCGCCCGCCGCCCCGCCCGGCCCACCCGTGCCCCTCCCGGCCCGGCGGGGTCGCCGGCCGCCCCTGGGTGTGCCTGGCCCGGCCCTCGCCAGCGTGGCAGCGCCCGCCGGGACCTGCCCGCGGAGGTGGCTGGGGGAGCGGGGAGGCGGCGGCAGGCCCCTTGCAGGGGGATGGTGCGCTCCCGGGGGTGCGCCGGCGCCTGGCACGGCCGAGGGAGGGGGGAGGCATCCGTGCCCTGTGCCAGTGCCCGTGGCTGTGGCCCGGGAGGGTGGTCTGGCCAGGCCTCAGGGGATGCGTGCCTGCAGGGGGTAGTCTTGCATACAGGCCAGTTGTTTGGGGGGGCACCACCAGGAATCTGGGGCTCCAAGGGTCTTTGGCTCCGAAAGGGACCACAGAGACTGGTTTTGTGTGTGTATCCATCCTGTGGATTGTACATTTCCTTCCCGGGTGCCCTGGTTGGGTGTCGTGCTGGATAACTCCAGGCCGTGGCTAGACAGGGGGGTTGGGTGGGCAGGGGTGGCTGTTCATAGTCCATATCTTCTCTGGGGTTGTGCAAGACCAGATATTACACACACACACAGGGCACTGTGGGGCAAAGCAGGCGTTTGCACGCCTGATACCTGTGTGTGAGGTGAGAGCCATGTATTATTTATCTGACTGCCGGGCGCTTTATGTAAGGAAAGAAGCAGCAATCTGTGCCCTGGAGGCCCTTGTGCTGCGGAGTCAGCCAGGCAAACAAGCTCACCTGCACCTGCAGAGGAGGTGCAGGTCTCAGAGGTGCGACTTCAATGATCTTATTTGCAGGTCTCCTCCTGTCTCCATTTTCAGCATGATTGCTGGGCCCCCTGGGCTCTGCACATGGGGACATCAGGTCTGAGGGTTCTGGGCTGTGTGTCAGAGTCTGGATGGTGAGGTGGGGGGCCCCAGCAGTAGGCCTGCTTGCTGAGTTGTGGGGCCTTCCCTGGACAGAAGCGTATGCTGTCCCTGGCATCCAGGAACTCTCAGGTAGGCATTGTAACCACAATGAGGTGAAAAATATAAAACAGTAGGTAGTGCCGAGGGGGTTCAGTGCTGGGAGAGGGACACGTGGCCAGTAGAACCGTCGCCAACACGAGGGGCCAGTGGAGCTGCAGTGTAGAGGCTCGCAGTTATGATCTGGAGCTCGGGGCTGTCCATCCAGGTTTCCTCAGTTCATTTTCTCAGTGGTCCTGCAAGCGTGGAACTGTTAGCCCTGTTTGCAAGTGAGGAAACTGAGATGCAGAGAGAGCCTGACTCCCAGATGCATGAATCGAGTCATCCTTGAGCCAGGCCTTCTCTCTTGCTGCCAGATCTTGCTACCTTGCAACTTACTGAGTACCTATGACTGTGCCGGGCACCCTGGTGGGGGCACAGGGATTGAAGATGAATGGGAGGCTCCCAATCTGCTGGGGAGATAGACATAGAGAGTGACTCCACTCCATGAGGCCCCCGTCAAAGGTGTGAGTGGAGAAGGCGCTGTAAATCCCCCTCTCCTGCTTTTCCCAGAACCTTCGGTGACCTGGGGCGCCTTTGCACAGCTCTCAGGATTCTGGATGTGTTGTGAGTTGCTCCCACGTGGTGGTGGGTTATACAAGGAGCCCTTCTGAAGCTCTCCCTGGGGGTGGGAAAAAGAGCTGCAAGCAGAACAGTGAGCCTGCCCTAGATCAGTTGTGTTGGCCGAGTTCTGTGCAGTGCTGCTTCTGTCTGGAGGCTCCTTCTCCCCTCTGCCTTTGAGGTTTTGCTCCTGGTTTCTGGCAAGCTGGCCCTGCCCTCCCTGACAGGGGCTTAGTGCTATTTCCAGTCCCTGCCGTGCTCATTTCTCCCCGTAAGCTCCCTGGAGTGGAAACAGTCTCGGAAGGCAGAGTACAGCACTTTATTGTTTTGAAACCGAGTAACGACGAATGCCCTTCCTGCTCTAGGGCCTTCAGGCTGGGGATGCGGGGTGTGTGCAGGGCAGGCTGCGGGCCGGGAGCCCTGTGTGGGTCTGCCTGCACCTCCGAGGGCTGCTGCACCGGCTGAACATCTGTGTGCCCAGCACTGGCTAGGCTGAGGGCACACGGGGCCCACTGGGAGGTCAAGCTGGCTGAGGGAGCTCAGTGTGTGACAAGTATGTGTGTCTGTGCTCCACTTGTGGCCAAAACAGACACTGTAGAGGCCTGCAGGACCGCAGCTTGTTTGTTAAGCACTCACTGCATGCCAGGCCCGATATAAGGTGCTTTCGTGAATGCCCGCGCCTCTCCCTCCTGTCCTTGAGGAGGTGGGACAGATGCCTTCCTGGGTCACTGAGGCCTGACCTCAGTGTCCTTGCTGTTCCCCCGCTAACCAGAAGTGCCCCTAGAAGCTGAGTGTCCTGGAGCTTGAAGGATGCTGGCCTAACCCATGGGGGAAGAGGAGGGTGGCCTAGTAGAGCAGCCCCTGAGCCGAGGAATGGGGAGGACGTACCTCTCCTTTCAGATACTGGGGACTGAAGACCTTTAAAGGCCCTATTTGGAGTTTAAACTCAGTTATCAGGCAACACCTGGAGGTTTCACAGAGGAAGTCACCTCCTCAGCTGTGTGACGGACAGTTAGCTCTCGTCCTCCTTGGTTCTGCCCACAGAGAAATGTCAGGAAGACCTGGCCTCCCTCACCTTTGCTTTCACGGGCCGCTGGCATCCTTGGTAAGTCCCAGCTGCCATTGCCTCCTCTTCCCTCAGCAGCTTCTGGTCTTGACCACCCTGCGCGGCCCCGCACGGGCCTCTGGAGTCCCTGTGTGATGCCGTCTGCTCTTAAACTAGCCTCTGGCCAGCTGTGAAATGGTTCCACTGAGCTGGTCCTTGCTGGAGTTGGAGCGAGCACGGGCGGCTCCCCTCCCTTTTGAGAGCTGCTGGTGGCTGTGCCTCAGGCCGCCTCTGACCATCTTGGACATCCAGGTTAAACCCTGATGCCATGTGTGAGTTCACCAAGGGGGTACCCGTTCTGTCTGCCGGCTTTGCTGGGTGGTCAGGTGGCCAGCGGCCAGCTGCATGTAGGGGTTTGTTGCACCCCACCCCGTGGGTCTGAAAGCGCAGTGAAGGGGTCTGCGTCGGGTGTGGAGCTGTTGGGTGTAGGGTGTGGGGGGAGGTGCTGGGGAAGACTTCTGAACTGGGCGCCTTGGGAGAGGAGGCCGAGTATTCTAGAAGGGGACGGAAGTGGTTGCCTGCTGCACAGGACCGAGAACGCCCCTTTGGGCACCAGGGAGGGAGAGCAGAGCCCAGCATCCTGGGGACCTGGAGAACTGGGAGGTGTGGCCCTGTGGCCTTGGGCAAGTGCTTACGGGCTCTGACTCCAATTCTTTAGAGATGGGGGGGAAGTGATGCAATTTCCTTCGTCTGTGAAATGGGAGTAATCACAGCGCGGCCCTCGTGGAGCTGTCAGGCCCGGTGGCCGCGCCGGCGCTGGGCAGAGCGCGGGGCACAGAGCACGTGCTCCGTGAACACGAGCTTTTATTGTTCCCTTACGGGCTCTTTATTCAGGAGAGAGGAATTGCACGCCTGTGTGCCGGCAGTGTGCAGGGAGCTTTCCTTACGGGGTGAGTGCAACTGGGGAGAGAGGGCGTTCTCGCTTGTCGTGGGCGCTCTGCGGGAACAGAGGGCATCCCCATCGTGGCAGGTGACAGCTGAGCTGTCGCCACGCGTGAGGAGACTGAGCGAGTTCTGGCGGAGGGGCCGCCGCGCAGAGCACGCTTTGGAGCCCTGCCCCGGACTGTTGGCGCCAGGGCGCGCTCCTGGTAGGCCTCGGGACCGCAGGTGCTACTTCCGACGCCCACTCCGGGCTGGGCCGCTGTCTGTGTGGAGTGCGCGTTCTCCGCACGGCTGTCTCCCGGTCCTCGGGCTCCCCTATACCCCAGGGTGTGTCCCACTTGTCTGGGGGTGCAGTGTGAGTGTGTCCCGCGGGGGAAGGGCGTCCTGTCCAGGGTCGCAGCCTTCTCAGTAGGGAATTGTTCGGACCCCGCTGGCCTAAAGACTGGGGGCGGGGTGTGCACAGGAACTAGGGCGCACCCCCAAGCAGCACCTGTTCACTCTCCTGCAGCTGTTTCAGCGTGGCTGACCCCCTGCACCTGAGCAGCACGTGGAAGGAGCACGCCAGCCTCTGGTCAGCCGTCGCGCCGAGTCTTGGGTTAGTGCTGCCCGGCCAGGGTAGGGCTGGTCATTTTGCCTTAATGTGTGACCGGGGCAGGTGTCGTTGTCACCCGGCACCAGGCTGCCAGAAGAGGGCTGTTAGGTCTGAGCTTGTATCCAGAGCCCACGGAGGTGTCGTGCACCCCCAGGTCTGCCCAAAGGCCAGCTGCTGATGGTCTCCGGGTCTCAGGGCTGTGCTGGGAGGCAGGAAACCCCAGAGTCACCTCCTTTTCCTTCCCTTCTGAGGCGGAAACCAGAGGGGGAAGATCCCACCCAGAAAACCTTTGTGCCTGACCGCGTCATATCCAGCTCGCTCATGCTTTAAAAAGTCACACGGCCAAGTGAGCGCTTGGTGGGAAGTTGGCAGTGTTGGCCTCCGTGCTTCAGCCTTTGAAAGCAATAGGCTTCTCTGGTTTTGAAAATAACACTTAAAAAAATTTTTTTTAAGATTTATTTATTTATTTATACAAGCACTGGGTACAGTCAGAAGCGCGGGAGGGTGAGAGGATTCACCAGAGCCAGAGCAGGGAGCAGAGCAGGCAGAAGGACCGAAGCACACTGCTGAGGGGAGCAGCGGGCGGCAGGAGAGGTCTGCGCGCCATGTGGGACCCTCCTCTGGTGGCCGGGGAGCAGCTGGGGATTGAACCGGTGCTGCAGAGGCTGCGGGCAGCTTCGCA